CCGCCCGCCCCGCCGGCCAATAGCGCTCGAGCTGCTCTCCTGCCCCGGGGAAACCCTCCTGGGCGGGTCGGCTGCCCCGGTGCCTCCGCGCTGGGTCCCCCCGCCTCCCGGTCCCTCTCGCCGGGTTCCCGCTCCATCCCGGAGCGGTGTCAAACACAGGCGGGACGGGGGTTCCCTTCACAACATCGGTCTTTATGGCGAACAGCCCGGGCAGGACGCGGGTGTCACCCGCGCTCACCCGGCTGGGGCACAACAGGCGCCTAAAACAGCCAATCTGCCCCCAGAGCTGCAGGCAGCGCGCAGGGAACACCAGCGGAGGCAGCTGGACGGCAGAGCTCTGCTCGGGGGCGGCCGCTGCAGCTCAGCTCACAGCAGACCGGCTCCCCCTCTTCACTGCTTGCAGGACGTGCCGCTTTTCCCAGCGAGGACCAAGGCTCAGCACCCAGCAGCCGCTCCCTCCTTTATCCCACCAACCTGCAGGCAGCACGAAGGGGTCACGGGCTCTGCCGGCGGCCGCCACGCGCCACCAGCCGGGCGCAGCACCACGGGGACAGCAAAGAAGGGCAAAACAGACACGTTTTGTTACCTCCTGCCCCAGCCCAGCCGGTCCCCRGAGCACAGCAGGGCCTCTCCCAGCATCTGCAGCTGCTCCAGAACCTCCTGCTGCATTTCCACGGCCATGCGGTGCACGTGGTGGCTCGAGCTGTTGTACATGACGGCGTTCTGGAACATGAGCATGAGGTCGCGCTGGAACTGGGCGCTCGTGTGAATGTGGCCCTTGGACAGGTTTCTCTTTATGCTGGTTAAATCCATGGGCCTGCAAAAGACAAGAGATTCTTCAGGCTCTGCAGGAAAACGCTTGTTTTCTTTCTAGCTCACAGCCACATTCAATCAATTTTATAGCTCATGACAGAGGGAGAGAGTGAGAAATGTTCGTCTCCTAAAGTCGGACAAAAATAAGTTTAGCCGGTGCAACACTTGCCATCCAATCACCTTGGCAAGCCACTAGCAATTACTTGTGAAGGGAGTCTSATGTGCAGCTCCAGAGAAGCAACCAGAACAACTCTAGTAATCAGTCTTTGTGAAGTGAGCCCAGGTCTTGGTGGAAAAAGATACTAAAATAGGTATCTATTAAAACCCCCTAAAAACCGAATGGTGCCACTAGCAAAAATAGCCATGCTGGCAAGTGGGACATGATGGGGAATAAATATGACTTCTCTTATTTTGACAGAATGAGAAGATGAATGGCTGCAGAGAGGAGAACTGTGACCAGAATAGAATATGATTCAGCTTTGACAAAAATGCCCTTAATCCATCTGGGAAACACTCTTATAATCCACCTCTCCACTGCAAGTAAAACATCTGGGCAGAAGGCAATGGGCAAGGAGGCAGTATTGACTGAGGCACCTTTTTCCCAACACCAAGGGAAAAGACGGGGGTTAAGAGGGAGCTGGGCTTTAGGGGCGAGTCCCCTACGCAGGCAGGGCTAGAGCTGTGGTGACGGTGCCTGCCATAGTGCAGTGCTGGCAAAGGACAGGAACAATCCATCTCAGGACTAAGGTCAGTGCAGACTTCAAGGTCCTAATCACCTGGAAGGGAGTTTTATTAAAAATAATCAGTGGGAGACACTGCTGACAGCCAAGCTCTGCAGAGCAGAAGGACACAGCCACACTTGTCTCCAAGGTCAAGGCAGGCAGAGGGACAGAGAAAATACTCCCATGCAAGAGGTACAGGGGGGAGACCAGAGGCTGATCTTACTCAGTCTTTCCTGTTCCTAGAGTTGGGTACCAGACAAAGCAGAGAAAACAGAAATCAGCTAGTAAAGACTCGCACAAACTCACCTCTTCACAACATCGCTGTATCCAGGCGCTTGTTTGTCCGACACCGCCTTCAGGAACGGGCCGCTGTACCTACAAGGACGAGCACAACGAATGGCCTCTGAACGTCTCCATGCTGAGGGCTGAAGGCAGGGCTGCAGCAAGGACCTATCCCTGCTTGTCACGAGTCTATCAGCACACAGCTCTCCCTGCTGCAATAGCAGCCAGGGAGAGACAGGTCAGTCTGCAGAGCTGTCCTGAAGGGGAGGACAGGGCCTGGGGACAAGGGAGCTGGAACTCAGGACAGCAGGGACAGGGACTAGACCACGCTGCAACCCTCATCCCCACACACCTGTGACTGGCTATGACCTTCCAGATGGACAGGAGCGTCCTCTTGAAGAGCAAACGTTGCAGGGGGTTATCCCAGCTCAGCTGTACCCTGCAGAGGGAACACAGTGTCAGCTGATCATGCTTGAGACAAAAGACAGGACAGTTTCTCTTCTGATGCYCAACATATCCACTTGGACAAAGATCACAGATTCTTTAGTGCAGCTACTCAAACCACCTCCATGTGAGCCGGTGGAAGCATGCTGCATCTCAGATCAGGACTTACTACCCAAGACACAGGAAGATAAAGGCCAACAAGTAGAAACAAGAGCCGAGCTGAACAGCTCTAAAGAGCAGGATCAAATTCTGCTGTTTATTTGTTTTCTCATCCCACCTAAAAGGCAGCTAGGTAATCACACAAGTAGGTGCTGATCTCCCACTACCCCAAAACACTGATAGTCTCATACAGATGGCACAAATGATCTCTTTCCCTCCTCTTCTCCTGGGATATCTCACCTCATGTGCTTACTCTGATGTAAACTCAAGGAAGTTTACTCAAGGAACTCAAGGAAGAAGCTGTTACACTGCCCCTGCAAAGCATCAGGCTGAACTACTTACAGCTGTGTGGAGCCAGGACCCACAGGCCGCAGTGAGGAGGCTGCACAGGTGCCCCCTGCATCATCTTGAGGCAGGGACTGATTAGTCTTCTCTTGTGGACTCAGTTCATCTGCAGCTTGTTCCCTGGGTGCCTCTTGAACCTTGTCCTGAAGAACAGAGAGAAAAATAAAGGAGAAAGAGCTGAAATGGAGCCCATCACCCAGAATCCTTTATCTAACAGCCAGTCTGCTGCCTGTTCCTGCAGCCAACCTCAGATGGGAGCTAGCACTCTCTGTCCTGTTCTGGAGGATGCTGGTTGCCCTGAGCTCTTCACGCCTTTGTCATGCTGATGAAGACTTCAGCAACACCTAAGTCTGAGCTCTGGTACCATAATCAGTTCTAGCTATTTCAAAGCACTGTGGTGCTGTGTGGTCTCCAGCATCGTGTCAGTCTCCTTGCCTAGAGAGTCATGGATGAAGAGAGCACATTCRGGAGCTGAGGTAAGACGGCTTCAAAACACTGATGACAGGAACATAGCAGGGTTGTTTCCTTGCAAACTCCCACATTGAACATGAGAGAGAACAGCCAGCCAGCAAGCAGGATGGTGCTGCTAACATAATGATTTGCCAGTACAGGGTGAAAGAAGCACGAAAGAGGATTTTTCAGGAGTCCAAAAGTGGAATTACACTGTACAGGAACACCTGAATTCCTCAACAGAAGATATGAAGCAGGCTCCATGGAAAATAAGTAGATATTGTGCTATACAGGGCTTTGATTAGTGGTTAGACCTCTAGTGAATTGCCTGGAGTAGCCCTGTCCTGGCTGAACAAGTAGAAATGACTGTCAAGGTTCCCACATTTTCATCTCTCCTATCTAAATCTGCAATGGAACAAACATGTGTGGGCACTGGAAAAAAATGGCACTGTTCTTCCACTGTTGTTATGTTTATCTGCCTGGGCAAGACCTTGCAGGCTGGTAAAAGCCCTCTGGACATGGCAGTGCTCAAAGCCATGCTAGACACTGCCTGCTTCCAAGAGATGACGGTCCCCAGGAGCAGATGGTTACTGCTATCACATCCTCGTGGGCCTCAAACCAGTCAAGCTGTGTGCTGCATAACACAGCAGTGAGAGCAAACCAAGTATTACCAGTTCTTCTGGTAAGAAAAAACTTCTTTTCACTGCCAAATTACTCTTCCTACATACGAGCATTTGATCTGTAATAATCTTGCTGTTCATAAAGATCCATATTGATACATTTAAAGCATCCTTCTTTGTATACGTTTCTTAGGCATTTCCCTCATTTAGTCTCTTCCTCCCCACTTGGATGCCAGGACTTTTCCATCTCTTCTCTAAAGCTGTTTTCCTGCACAGTCTCCATCTCTCACCGAGGACCTGAAGCCCTCTTAAGACCCCCTCTCCCATACCTCTCCTTCTGGTAAATCCTCCTTCTTATCTTCTTCTGACGGGGTCTGCAGCTGACTTTGTTCCCCTTCAGGGACTGCTGACCCCATGCTCTTCTCCTGGCAGCTTACGTCTTCCCCATCATCCCGCTTCCCAGAGCCACAAAAGTTCCAGCGACTCTGTGCTGATTCTGTGCTGCTAATGCGGAGAGGTTCCATTAAGTGGGTTACCTGCAACACAGAGGCTTATTGCTTCAAACCCTGAAGGCAAAGGGAAGAAGAAATAAGTAGCACAAATGCTATTTTTGATTATGCTCACAAACACTTTCCATTTTTAGAACTCTTTGCAAAAAATCTTCTGATGCAGCCCTGTGCTGTTATTACAGTGTCAGCTCCCTGGCATCTCGGTGCTCTGGGGTGTTCTGGCACAGCAGCTGCCCGCCTGCGCTGCCAGCTTTAAATGGGAGCAAGGGCTACACTTGGATCGGGCAGCGAGAGAGTTCAGGGCATTTGCTCCTCGCCCAGGATAATGAAAACAGCATTTTAGGAGGGCCTGAGCCGTGCGGCCCCCGTTGGTATAATGCAGACAGACCTACCTCTGTGAGGAAGTGCAGAAGGCTTTCCTGGTCACACTGCGTCACCACCTCCTGGCAGTCATCACTGTCATCCTCCCAGAGGGACTCACTGAACTGCCTGCAGTCTTCCTCTTGGCTGCTCTCCTCTAGCTCCCTTATGGCTCTCTCTTCGCTATTCCTCCAGCTCCCCACTTCTAGATCCAAGCTCGAATCCCAGCTGAGAAGGGACTGGAAGTCGCTGTTTTTCTCAGACTCACTGGCRGACTCTGTCTCTGACCCCCAGCACATCCAGCCACGGCCCATCTGCAGACAAACAGAAAGAGAGAAACAGCAATTTCTTTGTACCCTGGCCCAGAGCTGCAAACTCTGCTTCATTTCCTGACGGCTCCAGCGATCCAGAGCACGGGGCCCGCGCTGCTCGGCACACAGCAGGGCTGCAGCTCTGCACAACCACCTCCTTCCCAAGCAATGYGCAGTGCCCTCGCTGTGCTCTCCTGGGGTCAGCGGGTGCCCAGCGATGCTGGGCAGGCTTGGAGCCTGCAGCTTTCTCTGATCATGTTTAAGGTGCCAAAGGATGCCAGAGACGTGTACAAACGCTGGGGCTCCTGAATTTGCGGTAGTTGTTGCAAGCAATCAATGATTCCAAGGACAAATCACTGAAATTCCATTCGCTGCTTGGTTAAGAACTTTTTATATTGGAAATGCCTTACAGTAAACACTACAGAAACTTTGTTGTGACAGATGTGTTTGAACTGGATGGTGGTTTCCTGTGTACCTGACCAGGAACTGTAAGCATGAATAGTCTTGCATGGACAGGAGATGGTTCTATGCCCATTTTAGAAATAAAAACTTAGCACTTTTTTTGAGAAGGAGGAAACCATTCATTTTGTCTTTGTTCTTTAGTCTATGCCCAAGTCTTTTCCACTGTATGAGCCCACGATGACCCCTGCGGAGTCTGGGGAATGGGCTGCGGAGGCACAGGAACAGCAGTGAATGGCTATTAGGAAAATCTGTGTTTTGCCACTGAACTTGCCTGCGTGGATGCCGCACCTGGGGGTGATGCTAGGCATTCATCAGCTGCCTCCTTACAGTTCTCAGTTAATTGGGTGCAACCTGATTTTTCCAGGGTTTTGAACAAGCAACTTTCTCACTGACTTCCTTTTACATTCCCAGGACTGCTAGCACAGCAGCAAGCACAACCCACAGGGCATAACTAGAATGGGTTTGGGATGGAACAACTCGCTTGCTAATATTAGGAACTGAACAACCAGAGGTAGAGCAGAAAGGCTGTACTACTGAAAGCCCTTTTGAAGTTAACTTCAGCAGAAGCAGATAAATCTGATAAGGTAACAGATAAAGCTGCTCCTCTCGGCTTCCAGTTAAAGGAGTCGGGCAAAGTCTGACTCCGCCTGGAGAGCAACCAGGCCTGGAGCGGCGCCACGCAGCTCAGCTGAACAGCAGAGCCTCAGGCTAAGGTCATCCCATCGCTTCGGAGCATCTTGCTGTCTTCCAGCTGAGATAAGCACTTCAAAATCAGCAAACTGAGATAACGTGGGCATAAGCAGTGCTTAAGAAGAGCTTTGGCCTTACACTCAGTTTTACTAAGTCTTGGATGCTCAGGATGCTGGAGAACCACAGAGTGTCGTTAATGCAGGGTGAGTAGGATGAGTAACTGCAGACCACCTAGTTTCAGACCAATTCCATACAAAATTAAAGGGGTAGAGAAATACAGAATTCAACTTCTTAATGAAGAACTACGTGACAGGCTTTACGTAAGTTGTCAACAAGGAATCAGCATCTGAAGCAAAAGTTTTAGTTCAGTTTGCAGGGGTTAGACGCTGTGCAACCAAGAAGCTGTTAGAAGTAAAGAGACAGCCTTTAATGGGAATTTACATGTCAGGAGGGAAAATGATAAAAGCCCAAATGCCAGCAAATGAAATGCAAAATCCACAATAAAATAGCACCCTCACTGCAAAAAAGAAAAACCCAAAGAAGTTTGCTAAAGACATAAAAGCAAATAATAACAACAAACCTCATCAAAAACCATCAGAACGTCTGCCAGATGATCAGCGGGGATGACACGCAAACAGTGCCAGCATCTCAGGAGAAAAGAGGACTGGTTGGAGAAACCAAATTAATCATCATTATCAGCYGTTGCCACAGAGAAGATCATAAATATCCAAAACAGACACCTTTTTCTTAAGATAGGTTTGAGGGTAAATCTGAGCTCTGTACCAGGCAGATTAGTAGAAAATATTATCAAGGACGGAATAAGCAGTCAGAACATAACATGATGAACTGGGAAAGAGGCTGCATGGCTCTGTAAAGGAAAATTGTATCTTAGATTTTTAATGATCTTAAACATGGTCATTAAAGGCTCTTAAATTGCCACAGGACAGGCAGAAAGGCTCTTTGAAGGAAAAAATACCTAGTTAAGAGAAGAAACCAAGAGAGGAACGAACAGCACTTCTTTCCATAATGAAAGCAGGTTACTAGTGGGACTGATGACAGTCCACCCACATGCTGCAACTTCAATTATTCAGTGCAGACAAACACCGCAGAGGCGTTAGGGAGAAGACGGCGCCAGGCTCCGCTCAGTGGCGAACAGGGAGAGGACAGGAGGCAACGCTCACCAGCTGCGGCAAAGGAAATTCAGACAGCGTCCAAGGCAAACATTTACTCCTTGAGGGTGGGTAGGCATAGGAATAAGTTACTTGTGAGGCTCTGAATCTCCATCCTTGGAGACTTTCAAAACTTGACTAGACAACGCTCCGAGCAACCTGAACTAGCTTTGAAGCTAGAACTGCTTTGAGAAGCAGGTTGGACTAGATGTTCTTCACAGACTCCAGCCTAAATTATTTTATAAAGTATCAGGCGGTACAAGAACCCTGTAACTTGTTCCACAAGGAACAAGTAACTTGTTTCACAACTTGTAATTGCTGTAAATTTGCACCCAATTTTAATAGTGAAAGGCACAATAGCAATCGTGAAGGACATTGACTAGTAAACAAATCAAGCACAGGAGTGGATTCTGCACTTTTAGCATCAAATGTAGAGCGACCGTTAGCAGAAACACAACTTAGCCAAGCATTCAACTCAACACCAAGGGCCCAATCATCTGGAATACAAAATCTGTGAAAAGCAGGATTTTTTACTAGATGATCCTGTTAGTGTTAATTGTAATGACTTGGCTCCTGCAATTTGTGGGTCAGAGCGCTGAAGCCTGTTCAAACCCTGGACAAAGTGCAGACCATACCCAGCTGTTCCACACGAGGAAAAATCACCACCATTTTTTCCTCCCTTGGAAAATCATGGGGGCAGAAACTGCTCATTTTGGCTCACAGGTCACATGAGCAGAAAACAAGCTGGTAACTTGAGGACTGCCAGAGGGAATTCCAACTCAGTTTAAGCATCCATGTTGCTGTGGAAAACAACAGGAATGTGCCACAGAGAGAAACAGTTTGGAGCTCCAATGTCAAACCAGAGAGTGCTGCAACCAGATCCTGGCGTGCCTAAAGCTGCTGGAACCACAAGCGATTTTCATTTGCTTACCCCTTTCAATACTCTGGGAAAGAAATAAGGGAAATAAACGTAATAAGGCTCTGACAAGACTAGTATTTACCTTTTTTTGTGATTAGATCTCCCACTATATTTTGTAACAACAGCACTGCATCCTTGCACACTCAAGCCTTACACACTTACACACACGACCCAAGACTCATGCCCTGTTTTGGTAACGCTCTGCAGTGCTTGTTTGCCAGAGGAACCAACAGAGCGAGCTGTATTAGCAGATATGCAAAATGGGTACACAATGACACACAATGACACCGAGACAGGGCTCCTCACCGCGGTGCTGCAGGAYGAAGCACACCCACAACGGATTTGTTCTCAGCTTTAATATACATACACATTTACACATCACTAGTAAAAATCTGTACACTTCACATTACAGTACATACGAGCCACCAGTTGCTAGCTAACACCAGAACACTGATGAAGCCCAAGACTTCTGCCCTAGAACAGGCAGCAGGGCTGGTCTTCCCTCCCCGGGAAGTTTCTTTGGGTTACACATTCTGAGGAGCTATTGCTTTCAGAGGGATGAGCCAAGGTGGAGCAGGTCCCGGAAAAGGAACGTGGGGCTTTTCTTCCTCCTCTGGCTGTTGGAACAGGTCTTGCTGGCACTCCTGCCGYGCTTGGCGAGTGCTGGGTGTTTCTATCACTTCTTCATCTTCATGTCTGCCTCGATGGCACAGCGACGCCCTCTGGTGCCTCCGTCCTAGTCGCCAGGCAAACAAAAGCACTGCCATTAGCAGAGTTATAAACCTGAAACCCAAACACGCTGCCTCCAGCACCCAGGGGTTCCATGGAGGAGACAGGCAAGGAGGCCTGGCCAGGGAGGGGGCTGCCTGCAGACCTACCTACCAAAACCATTGTGGATAAAGCCCAGGGGCTGCCACGTGCAGCCTCTCTGGGCACTGCTGCCAGCCAGGACAGAAAGGGGCAACAAGGCCCTCTCTGGCCTTGGATGTTTTTAGAGCCTGCACAAGTGCAGGTTTTCTCCCAAGTGACAGATTCTAACTGGGTTCTTAAGATGGGAAGAGGAAACTGCTGACTAACCTACCTTATCAGCTGCTGATCCCTATGGGAAGTGATCCTCCAGTTGAGTGACCCTGGCACTAGCTCCCTAGCTTCTCCGCACAGCTCCTCTCCAAGAGTGGAAGGTGAAATGAGAGCTTCCTTTCATCCGCTGCCCTCTCCCTCTGGCTGACATGCTGACTCTCCTGGAGTACTCCTCTGTCTTTAGATATATGCGAGAAAAAAAAAAATCTCTCCATCTTCCTCCCTTCTCTCCTTCCCACATTCAAAAGTCTTGGGTTAGCTCTCCAAATGCATCCAGATCACCACAGGCACAGATCAGGACATTTCTGTTGGATATCTTTTGTTTTCTGAACCATAAAACAGTATACAAGTCATTTCTCACTTTCCCCAGCCCCCTGTGTTCTTTCTTGGACATGAGAAAGGGGCAGCTGTATTAGCATGAGAGATGTCAGAATTATAGTGCTGCACTTGATCTGTCTTCCCGCTTACATGGAAAGAAAGCAGGAGAGAAGTTGTGGAAAACAGCAATGGCAGATGACAAAACAAGAACACTTGGAACCAGAAGCAAGCCCATCCCTCTCACCCACGCGGAGCACGAGGGACTGAGAAGTTTCTTCTCTAATGCCCATGGTTGTACAGTTAAGACACATTGCTGCAATGCTAAGGATCAGTGCAGTGATCACYGAGGCAAGGAGCAGAGCCCAGCGACAGCAGCACCCCAGTGTCTGCTGCAGCCTTTCAATACTTACAAAGAGAGAGAGAAGGAAGGCAGGAGAGCCCATTGGGACACTGTCCTGTTAAAAGGCCAAACAGAAGGACTTATCAGATATCAGATACAGAAATGCACACACCACATAGAAGCAATGCGCCCACATACATCAGCGTAGAGGAACATATGTCCCGCTCCCCTTCCCGCATGGCAGCAGTCTTAACACAGCAGGAACATAAAAATGGACAAGAGAAGGATACTGCAAGAGTGAGAACGCTCGGAAAGCGATTTTCCCTCCTCAGCCATGGCAAGCTCTGGCCTACCAAATAATCTCCTTGCACTGTGCATTCAGTCCCACTCCCCACTACAGCTAGGCAGGCGGTCCTTGCTGTCACSATGTTATATGCACCAGTTAAGAGCATTCGAAAACACTGAATCAAGACTGGGCATGTCTTTAACAAAAGAAAAACAGCCCCTGCAGAATACTCGTTCAGATCAATGAAGAAATCAAAGGTTTGCTGGTGTGCTTTAAACAGCAGAAACAGTAGAACAGACTGCAGTAATTCCCCAGCTCTAAAAATCTGTCTCTAAAAACACGGACAGGTCAGTCTTTGAATTTTCTACACTTTCACCTTCCTGCTGCACCATGCCTCCTCTTCCAATTCTCTGCTCATTTCCCTGCAGTTTTCACCACTTTTTTTTTTTTTTTTTTAAATGGAATTATTGAGATTACAGAGATAACTCATGAAACCTGCCTCTGGCATAACGTACATCTCCAGAGCTGAAATCTACCTGAAGCACACATTTAAATAAAGATTTCACATGAAGAAGCCAGAGCAACTGTGATCTTAAAAACACCTGCACATCTTTGGTATAGGGACTTAATGTAGTATCCTGGGACCTTCCCAAAGGCATCAACTGCCTTTCCACAGAGTGCAGCACCCTCACCTTTTCTGAAGCATCTTGTTTGCGAGTGGAGTCTCGCCCACGCAGGCTCTTTGCACTGATCCCAGACTCTGATGTTTGCATGATCAGTTGTGTGGCCAGAAATTGCTGCAGGAAAACCACACTCTCAGTTAAGACTCTCAGGCAAAACAAGCTCAGGTATTGCTTGTCAGTTAATATCACAAACCACAAGGCTGGAAATGATTAAGTCAGGGACAGTTTCAGTTCATTGTCTGTTCCTCAAAATAAATTGCTCCTTTTACCTCAGAAGTCACAAGTTCCGAAGGGCTGTAAAAACCCAACTCAAGCCCTCCTRGTCCTGCTAGTTGGGACATTCCACTTCAGCAGTGTTAAACGGCACAGAGTAGAGGGGCAGTCTCCAGACACAGTTTCGCAAAGACTTCAAAGGCAGCATAAACCAGCAGAGCCACCAAAAGAGCCATCCTGTCCCTGCAGTTCCCCAATCTTGTTGCCTGTTTCTGCTCCTGAACCACCCTGCAGTTCTTGCTGGCAGGTACCTCTTGAATGGAGCTTGAAATTGTTTGGGGCTGAACCTGACAAATATTTGGCTTGGCTTTAACTTACGGGGTGGTTCCACAATATTAGGTCACTACCACCACCTCAGCTAACACAAGCTCAAGACAGGTGAAGAAGAGAAGGGAACTATTTCATTCAAAGGCGTTGCAAGCTAAGGTGTGGTTTTACATTCTGAAGTCTTTCCCATGCTTAGGAACCAAGGCACRTGTTTTGCCCTGCCCTGGCCTCAGCTCAGTACTTTACCTGGATTTGCTCCAGGACATCTCGCTGCATCTCCACAGCCATGTGGTACACATCATGGTCAGAGCTGTTGTACATAACTGCATTTTGAAACATCAGCATAATGTCACGCTGGAACTCTGCTGTGGTTCGTATCAGCCCATTCTCAATGTTCTTCTTAATGGTAGATAAATCCATTGGCCTATGAAAGAAATGCAGTCAAAACAAATATTTAACTCTTCTTTCTTTTGCAAACTGACCTGGATCTGAGGTATGTCTAGTCACAGCATCTATTCAATTTAGTAGCACCAGATCCCAATAAATTATTTTCCATGCAGGTTGTATTCCTGAGTGAGGAGATGGGGGTTGTATAGCAGAGGCATTTGAGACCCAGACATTGCTGGGACACACTAGGGAGCTAGAGCTCCACTCGCTGAGCTGCTCAGGAGAGACTTCTCCGGCTGAAAGGGGATTCTGGTAACTCTTCCAGAAAAGGACACTACTCTTGACAGTAGAAGAGCCGATTAAAGAAGATGGGTCTGCAGAGCACCAAAGACCAGATCCCATCCTTGAACAGAAAGTTGAATAAGACCACAGTCAAACAGCACCTTGCTGATAAACAGTGTTCTGGATAAAGCAGCATACTGAGCTCTCTAAAGAGAGGGCTATATAGTCTTGTCTGCTACTGAAGGCAGCCTTTTTCTTGGGGAAACCTGTTYACGATCAAGTGGTGCTGGAAAACAACTTTATTTTCTATATTCAATATCCATCATCATTACCAGTTGAGAACCAAACCTTTCCTCTCACAAATTGCTATAGACGTATTTAAGTGTTCTAGTGATAGAATTCTGGCGAGCCTCTCACCTCTGCACAATACTGTGGTACCCCGGCGCAATATCGTCAGTCACAGGCTGCAGGAAGACATTGGCATACCTGCAGAGAGAGGGAGTCCACTGAGTGTCCTGCTCTTGCCAGTAAATGGGCAATCCTTAAATATTTGTTCCATGCTCTCATGTTTTGTGTACTATCAGAAGTAAAACRATTCACTGTTTCCCAGGATCAAATTGGACAAGTCACAAACAGGGGAGTGAGGGACTGCCTGGGATTAGTCATTTTTTCTTCTACTTCTCAAGACATCAAATTCACCTGTGATTTGCTGCTGCTCTCCAAACTAGCATGATGGCTTTCTTCCAGATCTTCTGGGCCTGTATAGCTTCCTGGTCCTCACTGCACACAGAGCTGAGAAGAAAAGAATGGAACTTTCTTTCAGGAGTCTCCACATTGCTTGAAGCAGAAACCATATGGTTTATTCTGCCTTCGACGTACCTACATTAATCCATGCCAGAGACAGAAAGAAACAGCGGGTGCTGTCTGCAGGCTTGTGCTTATGAGTAAGGAGAACCTTGTGTCAGACAGATCAACAAATTCCCTCTTCAAACCCGCTTAGTCAGTAAAAACAGACACGAGAATCCCATGCTCCCTCCACAAACCAGCCKGGGATTTGCACTGGTGTGGCTGAGAGCTGCAGTGATACTCACAACTGCGAGGAGGCAGGGCTGCTGGGGATGGAGTCAGCTAGCGTGTGAGACTGCAATGGTGCATTATGGACACTGAAGCCATCATCGCTCTCACTCACGGGGGGCTCATTATCCATCTCGGATAGATATCCCTCACCCTGATCTTCTTCTTTGGGCTCCTCCAAACTGGCAGCCTCGCTGGCACCATCCTCATCATCCTCTTCACCCTGCCCATCCTGAAATACACACAGTATGTAAGTCTGTGCAACTTGTTACAACAGTGACTGAACCGTGAACCRCCAGGGCACCTATGGTTCAGCTGACAAAGGTGATTTTCTTACTACAGCTGCTGTAAAGGGGCTTCCACAGAATCCCAGTCATTCCATCCTGCCTGCTGCTCCAACACACACACACACACACACAGACTGACAAAGACATCCACACGCAACTTTCTAAGGTCTGAAGCAAACTTCCCTTTAGCTCCAATTTCAGACAGCCCACTCTCTTGTCAGTGTGGCAAGCTGAAGACAAGGTTTTTCAGCAGATGGGAGCTAGGAAGCAGCAGCAGCAAGATGTCCTAACTACTGAACCCAAGATGACTATAATTAATTCAGAATTACCTTCATCTGACTCCTGAACAGGGCTTGGGCCTCTTCCTTCAATGACTCTGAGAAGGAAAAATGAAGCAGCAAGGTTATGATTCTCCAAAATTGTCTTTCCTACTTCAGCTCCTGCATCAATACCTACTGTCCTGCAGTAATTACCACTGTTCCTGCACATATCTTCTTTTCTCCCTCCTCCCCAAAAGCTGAACAAGATCACTAACATCTATCCAACTAATAATGTTGTACATAAAAGATTTCCTAGCTGAATTAAGTTACCTGACAGCTCAAATTTGTGCTGAACATCAGCCTGTGAGGAGTCTTCACTCACATTTGGGACTTGTGGAGGGGATGAATCATCATCAGGTGGGGTCTGGAGGGAAGAGAAATGCACAAATCTAGACGTTTGTGTCAGCTTACTGCAGTGAAGGTGTGGGCACATCTCGCTCATCCTAGGCTAACTTAAGGCACTGAGGTTCACTGAGGACCTCCCCAACAGCAATTCTGCACATGGGCAGGGGGAGATTAACATAAAGGCACTGCCTAGAGTGGAGAGCTTTTCCTACAGATTGAACAGATCAACAGCATGACCCCCAAGGAAACAAGCAGGCACATTTAGTGAAGGGTCACCTTCAAATGCAACAGTTACTCTTCCTCTAAACTTCTCTCCTACCTGCCACAACTGCTCCTTTCTCCTCACACCATTTCCAGGCAGCCTCTCAGCTCACATACCTCYGTCTTCACTGTATTGGACACTGGGTCTTCTCCCTTGGCTGACTCTATCTCAGTTTCAGAACTCTCTCCTGCTGTCACAGATGCTCTTTGATCCTCTTCTATCTCTTGACTCCYAAGCTCTGGCGTTTCCGTTGCTCTCGCAGTCACTGGTATGGGTTCCTCAGGGCCCAGCTGATTTTGCTCCTGCTCTGCAGGTTCTGTCTTTATTTCTGATCCCAGCTCTCCAATGCCCATTAACTCTCGAATTCCCTTCGTTTCTGGCTCCTCACATTCCAGTCTTTCCTGCTTCACAGTCACAGACACTTGGGGTATCTGGGCCTGTTTCTCATGCTCCTGATGAATTGGGTGTTCCCATGGGCCAGGCAGGGCCTGAGGGTCATCAGTATCTTCGCAGAAAGAAGACAGAGCAGCTTCAACAACTGCTGCATCCAGGACTTCAGGATGGTCGTCTACCTATTCCCAAAACAGAGATGGCAGTGCAGGCCAAAGTCAACAAGAAGAGTTTAAAAATAAATTCAAAAGGAAACCCCCAGTGTGTCTATCCAGCTGTCTTTAGCAGCAGGATTTGCATCACTTCCCAACATAATATGCCAGAGATCTTGTCCCCAGGGACYTTTCAGGTTCAGAAATACACAACTCCTGGAAAGCCACCAGAGCACACTGGTCTGCCTGCCAGATCCATAGCCCAATCCCCGCTCAATCTGAGGAAGAGATTTCTCTGTGCTCTGGAGCACCAAGCTAAACGTGGCAGACACTGGTGTCAAAGGGCCATTCCCTATAGATCTGACAAACACAGTGAGCATGTGCCAGTTATTTCCTGCTTGTGTAACATGACTGTACATTGATGAACAGTAATTGCTTGAGATTAATCTAACTGGATGTGGAACAAAATGCATGGGCTCTCTTTTGCCTGGTTTACCTTGTCCTCTATGATGGCTATAATGTTTCCAACAGTATCAAAGTCCAGTTCTTCCCCGGTATAGGACACTGCAATATCCATCTTCTCAGCTAAATCCAGGTCTTCTTTCCCATCCATGCAGTGATCTTTGGAAGGCCCTGCAGTGCTGCCGGCTGCAGAACCCAGGCATTCTTTCTTGATTGAATCAATGATCATGGATATTTCACTGCTGTCCATGGACACTGTCACTGTATGGGAATCAGACACGGCCTCCATGGAAACACAGGCTTCCGGCTGGCTCACTGCACAGGGATGAGAGTGAAAATCAGAGACCAACCYGGTGAAGTCGGGCCCATGTAAGGAAATACTGCAGTGGGTTAGMCCAAGCACCAGGCACACATATCCCAAGTCCACCCACAACAGCACTGCATAGAAAAATAAAAGATAAATAGGGGTAACATATTTGATTTCCCACACAAGAGACAAAGTGAGAATCCAGTCCCTGGTGTACAACCCGGCTACATATCATTAGCACCCCCACCTCCGCCCAGCGAATCCTGCTCAAATCCCATCTCCAAGAGCACCATCTGTTTACTCCAGAACCCAGCCTTTGCGAAACGATGGTGAGTCAAGAAACGATGGTGAGACAAAAGCCCCGGCTGAGACCCTGCTGGGTGCGTTGCCCACGAACGAACCTGTCGCTATGCTTTCTGCAGTGGCAGCTGGTGGCACAACGGATGGTACTGGCAGCGTGGGCATCATGACAATGGTTGCCTGAGGCACAGGCTCTACTGGGGGTGGTAGAAGCTTAGCTGGAGGTTCGCTGGCAACAGCGGAGAAGGAAGCAAGAGGTGCGGTGAACTGTGCAGGACCAGCTTCTAAAAGCCGGGAAAGCGTAGGAGCACCTAACAGAGAGTAGAAGGGAAAAGCACATGAGCAAGAAGCAGCCACCACTGAAGACCACAGAGCCACCATGGGGCTGTTCGCTAGCTGGTGGCTTCCCCTGGTCCTACACATGGTCCCCAAAGCTACAGAGAGCCCACACCAAAGCACACGGCTCCTCGGTGCGCGCAGTCTGAGAGGGAACCATGCAAACTCTGGGACACTGGTCAGGGTAAGGGCTGGAGAGGCTAAGCCACACATGCAGAGAGATGCCCTTCCAAAGGCTCAACCCAATAAAAACATGGSAAATCTCAAAAACAGTGCTAAGAGAGCCACACAGGGTAAGGCAGGACAAACAGTTATCACAAGAGCCAGAAGGGAGCAGAGGGGATCTCTTTGCAGGTCTTTTCTGGAGACTTTCTCTTAACTCAAAGGCTGCCATTCATCTTAATCACAATYTTCAGTTTCAATTTACTTTACTACTTCAACCACTTTAGCAGGACTTCTAAGACATAGATAAGGAAAGCGAGCTTATTCATTCAAAACTAAATATGCATGAATGGTATAAATCATCAGTTTGTAGACTAAACCACTGGTTAACATGAGCTGAAAAGAAACTCCTATAGGCATTATGTTGCTATAAAGGTTTAATGTAAAGACTCCCRCACTGCCCTTTCCATCCCCCTGTACAGAATTTATTTTACAGCTCACAGTCCACTGTGGTCTAATCCTTAACACACCCCTGAGCTAAAGGAGATCTAAGATATGTTGGTCCTCCAGCTTCATTGGGAGCTGCAGTTTGATAAAATTAGAATGACAACCTAGACCCAGGTTTTCCCAACCTTCTTCCAACAAAACCTTTCTACATTGAACTACCTGGTATTAGTCAGTATCAAAACCTGCAACTAGTCTGGATGGACTAGGGTCAAATCAAGTCTAACCATTCCAAACATCTTTCCAGATATGCCCTTTTCTGTAAAAACTAGTGTTGTCTTACCAAAAAAGAGACAGGATGAGGGAAGAATACAGAAATTGTAATAGAACTCAAAAGAAGCCCCCACACCAGCCAGACTAGATGTCTTCATCTCTAACTAGGATTCATAAAACAGTCTATGAAATTATGGTACATAATTGGAATCTGAAAGGATAATGAGACAGGAAGTGTCCCTGCAAATTACCTGAAGCAGCAGGAGATGCAGGGACAGCACCAGGTGCCGACTGCATTTCCGCACTGTGCAGCACTGGAAGGACGTTTCCTACCTCCAGGAGGACTCCTGAGCTGTTCATGTGGCCAGAAGCCACTGCCATTTCATTCTCACCAACCTGCCAAAGGAGACACAACTGAAGTTCCTGGTGATTCTCTGCCAGATATGCACCTCTGCAAATATGTCCATCATTTGGTGTCTCAGCATTTCTCCTGTGCTTTTTGTCCAATTTAGTCCCTGCCTGAAGTCCACAACACAGGTTTAAAACTAGCTGTTTTTCTTCTGCTGAAATACAGTTGCTGTGCAATCCTCATTTTAGGTTAGGCCAAAATTGCTCTATTTCAGTTCAAGAATATCCTAATTCTTTGCAAATAGCAAGTCCCTCAGATGTCAGGGAAATACTGCTTGTGTGTGTTAAATTGAAGCACCAAGATGGAAAGTAACTTCAAAAGTAATCAAGGTCACACAATACACCTATGATAGACCTTGAAGCAGATGCAAAACAGCACTATAAGTACAAAGAAAATCCAAAGTCTTCCAGTCTCTTTTCCTTGCTTCCTCAAACTTTACACTGCACTCTGCAAACGTATAACCCATGGAGCCTTTAGACAAGCTAACAAATAGAGAAGATCCTAAATCTGACTATTAAAAAAAAAAAAAAAAGCCAGCTGCAATACATCTAATTCCATTCCACAAGCACTAAGACAGGATGCCACACCATGGGCAGGCTGATGGGTGCTACTTTCGGATGGGACTCTGAACAATGAAGGGCAATGGTCACCCTTCTGTTAATTCCAAAGTCACTAACACCAGGAGGGCCAAAATTACTTGTGATTACAGTGATTTTAATCACTGTCTACAATCTAAACTAGCAAGAGCTTGAGCCCACTTCAACGCTAGTCAAAAACTTTATGAAAGGACTCGCTATTCCCATGTGAAGACCTGTCTTGATTATTAAAATTCAACTTCCTGCCAAGATGTAAGCAAGAATTGTGAGCCCAAAGGAGAAAGCACCAAGAACACCTCTACGGGGACTAACCATGATGCTGCCTACCAATGTGACCCCCTACGGAGAAAGCTGTTCTCCAGCAGTGTCTGCAACTCCAACTCCTTATGGCCTAGAAGAACCAGCCAGTCCTATGTGCTGATGACCACTACAGCCCTGCGCCCACAGCAGCACTGGGAAACAGCCCCACCTTTGTGGCTCATGAGAGTCATTACACCTCTCAGATTTCACTTCTGCTGGGACTCTTGCAAATACTACGTATTTTTAAAAAGCCTTTGCAGCTCTCCCTTTTCAGTGGGAGAGTCTGGACCAAATTGTTTGTGTGCTTGCATATATGAGCAGAGAGCTCCATACCAGCCTGGGGCTTGTGGGCAGGAGACTGCCCTTCTTCAGCAGCTCTGAGAGCAGAGGGGAAGGAGGCGGAGTTGCTTTTTGTCCTAGCATCTTTTTCTGGGGTGAATCATCAGTGACTGGGGTCATAGGGGCATCCAGGGGAGCAGAGCCTGGAGGGGTGTCAGGGATTCCAATGAAGGTGGCAACTGGGGTGCTGGGCAATGTCCCTGGAGTGACCTGAGAAAGAGAAAAACCACACTGTTCAAAGCCACACTCCACCACATGAACTAGACCCACTTGCGCCTTCCCCCAAGAGCACTGATCCAGCACATCGCAGGCACCTACTCCATTCACTCGCTACACCTACGACAGGCAAATGCTTTCATCCTCGCCCTGCCCTGTGCTGCCATCTTCCAGGCACAAAGAAGGCTGCCTGGCGAACCCACTGATGCCCCTAACACAGCCTTTGATCCAAGCACCTGATTATCACAGACATCGAAGACGACACATATCTCGAACAGCACTGTACACCAGCCACACTACAGAACTACTATAGAGAAAAGTCTGCAAAATGAGGCAAGGGCTTCTCCCTGGCTCCTGCTCCATGACAGATGCACAGCCCTGTATCCCAAGCTGGTCTTTCCCTCTCGCCACAGGAAGCATCCTTACCCCAGGGCTGGCCTCGTCCACGGCAGGCTGAGACAGGTCCCCCAGAGCATATTCTCCCCCTGGGGAGGTAGAACCCGCAGGGGAACGGACCATCACACCCGTCAGTCGTCGTGGGGGATTCTTAATGGCTTGACGAGCTGGAAGAGAACAGGAGACAAGTGAGATTCCATGCCAGTCCCTGGGAGCTACTCCTGTCTTTGTCCTAAAGGGCCCTAGGATAACAAAAATGTCTATTTTTGCAGTGGAGAACTTCCTGCATCACACTAGGCTCAGTTCTCGACTACTACTAGGAATGGTTAATGTACTTTAATTTTAAATTTTTCCAGTGGCCAAGTATTCTCCATCTCCTACCACTAGCACATTGGTTCACTGAATTGCCCCAAGAACTATAAAATGAAATTAAACAAAAGAAATATAAAATAATCAAAACAAACCTGTCTTCATTTTATTATCACACAGTGATCAAGAGGAAAACTAAAGAGATGATAAGTCTGACATTCTATTACTAATACTTCTTCCTCTTATACACTCTTTATTTTTAAACAGAAACAGTTTTCAGAGGTCTTTGCTTTTTTCCTTGTTAAAAATACAGTGCTAGAATGAGAATAAAAACTTTGTTTGCTACTCCTAGAACAAAGGAATTCCTCTCCAACAAATCTTAACAGGACTTAAAAATCTCCCAAATGTTGTTAAGAACATAAACATCTATATGTGATGAAGAGTAAGGAAGCATATTTCCAGCTTACCCTGATAGGCAGCATCTGTAGCCTTCCTCTTCACTTCTGCCTCCTCCTCCTCCATTTTTTTCTTTCTGTATATAGAGGCAGAGCCTACTGTCACACAGCATCCTGCTGCCCTTTAGTTCTCCCTGCACAATCAGCTTACAGATCCCTGCCCTGTAATCTCTAGGCAATAATGAATTTTCTTGGCAGATTTAGGCTCAATTCCTCTGAGGAGGGAATTTGAGTCAGAGACCATCAGAGCAGGACAAACTTTGCAGGAAATCTTCCAGCTGACTATTAAAACATTTGCAAGTAAGAGCGGTGTTGCAAGCCACCATCAAGCTCTTTACAAAGAACAAAATAAAGTTCCCTACTACACTCAAAAAGATCCTCCCCATAAAATCGGTTCCTCACAGTCCAAATTAAATCCATCCTTAGAACCCAAAACATCTTCCCAGCTATTGGGTATCTTTCAATCCTAAATGTATTGAGCAAGTGAAGTCTGCCAATCACAAAGTATTAGAGAATGACAATCTAAGTAGGAAGTGTAATAAGGGAACAACTAAATAACCCACATCATAATTTCATTGCACAGCTCCTCCAGTCTATTATCCATATGTCCAGCCTGGATCAGCTCTGCATCCTTCTTGAGCTGCCTGTAATCAGAAAATCTTATTTACACGATCACTGAAAAACAAATCCTAAGCAGCTCTTGTTCCATGTATTTCTAACCCATGCACCTCCCACCTAGGATGTTTTTTCAAGACATGACCCTCCGCTTCATCATGACTTAATGCCTCTACCCAATACCTGTATTTCTCCTGTGTTTCTTTAATCATTTTCTTCAATTCTTCAACTCGTTCTGCAGTCAGTTTCCGCACAATAACATCTTCCACAGTTTCAACAACCTCTCCCTTTTCACCACGTTTTCTCCTATGGAATAAAAGGAAAACAAAAGAGTTGAGACAAAAACTCCAGAAAATCTCAGCTGCCCTTTCATAAATGGATGTTGTCTGTTATTCCTGTCCATAAAACAACCTCCTTCAATTTCACTCAGTAATATTAGAGGGCACAAYGTTCAAGCAATCTCTTCTTGTAAGTTCTAATCCTTAAATGCATCCAGGATTTAAGACTTCAAAAGATTAAAAATATAAGACCATTTCAATTTTCCAACCTGCAAATCAACTTCTGAGTTATCTGAGATGAAACATCTACTTTTTCTCAGTTACCCTACTAGGCCTTTTTTTGGTAACTCTACTGCTAGCTAGTTCACCACTATCATAAATACTTCTTGACATCAACTTAATTTGATGTCAAGTCCCAGTGCAAAATGCTTGAACTCAGAATGAGAAGTATCTAACACCACAAACGCTAACGCTGCAACGCTAACACTGACAGAAAACTGTCCAAAAGCACCACCGCAAAATAAAGACTTTGTACTCACTTGGGGGTCTCTGTAGTCTCCAAGAGCTCTGAATACTGAGAGGCACAATGCTAAAAAGAAACAAAGTCAGTCAGATGATGCCCCACAGCCATCAGCAACAAGTGCCATCAACAAAGTCTACAAATCTACTCCTCCTTCTTCAGAGGTCTAACACTTTCTGGGTGTGTCTGACAAACTTAAAAGTTTCCTCCATAACTGCAATTTATTGTACCTCAACTTGAGGAAGTATATTCCCTCCCTACTCCAGCACTGCCCGAAACTGACCTTAAAAACAAAAGGAAGAAGAGATATTCCCAAGAAAAGAAAGAAAATAGACTTTCCTGCCTTGAGTCTTTGAAACTCTTTCTAGCACTTTTCCTACAAAAACTCTTCGATGCCTCCTCCAACAGACACACTCGCCAAAGTACATTACAATACAAGGACAACCACAAATTCCAGTGGCAAGGAATTCCACAACTTAATTAGGTGTCATGTGGCCTTTCTTAGAACCTGCCTCTTGTGCCTCTTGTTAGTTGTATTTAATTAAACAGTGAAAGGCATTTAATCTGATTTAAAAATAAAATGGATTAAAAATATTCATTCTATTTTTTCCATTTTTTCGACCAAAAAATCAAAACAAAATAAAATACACAACTGTCAACATTGTGTATTGGAAAACTCATTTTTGCAAGATTCAAAAGCCAATTCCTTACCTTTTGGGAAAACCAGTCAGGTGGGCGGCCTGGCTCTGCAAAGGGTTTGATAGCTCTGCTGACCGAGACCCTACAGAAGAGAAACAGCGAGCCACTGTCAACCTGCTTTCTAGAGCAATTAAAATGCCATGAAAAGTACTGATCTGTCTTTATATTCATCACTCTGAACAGTTCCCACAATCACAGTAAATTGCCCAGATGAAGTTTCACTTGGGAATTATTCAAGGAGTTTTAGGGCTCCAAAACATTTGCCTACTTTCAAACATCCCCSCCGCTGCCCCTTGCTTTGAAAAGTAAGTTTCTAGCTTCTCATGATACTTTTACAACATTTCCACAACAAAACATTTGGTGAGGGAAAGAGGCAGCAAAACATAACCATCATCAACCATGAAGCGATGATTAGGAACACATTATTAAATGCATTTTTTGACCGCAGCTCGCCTCATTCAATTTATAAACATATTACTCATTTATTGTTCTAATTCACACATCTCTGTTTTTACCCAGTAGCTAGAAAACAAAGCCCTTTAAGGCAGCTGCCTCACGCCTCCACGTTTGCTTGAGCAGAAAGCACAACGTGACCAGCCGGGGCACAACCAGACGGGGCGGGAAACACAACCGGAAACACAACACACCCACGCAGCCCCCATCGGTGCTTCACGCTGCGGGCCCATCCCGGCACCGTGTTGAGCCCCTCACCAGTTCTGGTCGCCGCTGCGCATGACGGACGAGGCCAGGCAGAGCTTCTCGCGGATGGACCAGGGCTCCGTGGGGCCGGCGCTCAGCAGCTTGTGCTCTGCGCGGAGAGGGCCGAATGCCAGCGATGGGCACCGCTGCGCGCGGCCCGGGACCCGCGTGCGCGCCGCGAGCCC